AAACACAGATGTGCTGCACAGACATACATGAAGGTAAAACATTCATACACATAAAATACATCTTTAGCAATAAGAGTGAAGTACAGGTTTTAGAGTGGGGGTTTGTTGGATATATTGTCTTACCCAAATCGGCCCCAGACTTCGGGGCTTAAGTCCTCTTCCTCTTTCAACCTCCCAAGTAGTTAGTACCTACAGATACAGATACATGCAACTGTGCCAGCCAGAGGCCCAGAGTTTCCCATAATATGTTTTAGAGTTTGTGGGCTTGTGTATGTTTTGTTGTATGTGTAGTATGTATGTACACGTGCATATGCAGGTATAGTGTGCATGTGAGTGAGTGTGTAGGCCAGAGTCGTCTGCCTCAGTCACCCTCCACCTTTCTTTCTGAGACAGTCTGTCTGATTCTGCTGTTCTGGTTTTGCAGACACACTATATACCTAGCTTCTTATGTGGGTCCGGAGGATCTCCAGTCCTCATGCTTACATGGGAAGCATTTTACCGACTAAGCCAGCTACACGAACCCCTTTTTTTTGTTTTGCTTTTGACACAGGATCTCATGTAGCCAAGGCTGGCCTCGAATTTGCTATACAACTGAGGTTGGCTTTGAACCCCTCCCCAGTCCTCCTGTTCCTTAGTGTTGAAGTTACAGGCATGTGCCCCCAGGTTTGACTTGAGGGTGTTATTTGTCATCACCACCCCATATCTGACGCTCATGTGGAGTGGCAGTGCTCTGGGGCTGCACACCAGTGTCTGATTCGAGGAGCTTTCTTTGCCCGTTCGTTTGCAGCTATGGCTTCTCTTTCTTCACACATTTGGAAGCCCCTGAGTCCTCTGTCCCCAGTCAAGGGCTAGCAAAGTGGAAACTGGGCCTTAAGACTGAGAGCTTTTACCTCTGCAAAGGAAGAAGCTAGAACCAAGAGAGCCACCATGCTAAGGGAAGACAAAGACTTAGGCAAACCTAAGAGACATCAGGCCTAGTCAGAAACCACCTGCCTCTCTCTGTGTTCTTTTGCCAAAGCGCCTGATTTTGCCTAAAAATCTTGATAGACCTCTTTATAATTGCCTGAAGTGCCACAAGGGAGATAAGTGTTATGTGACAGATACTTGAGAGTTAAATCTTGGACTGCAGGCCGAGCATAAATAACACCAGATTTTTTTTCCTGTTTTCCCAGAGTGGAGTCTAAGAAGTGGCTCCAGGGGAGGAGGAGAAGGCAGAGGGAGCTGGAGCCTGGTGTTTTGCACACTGGCCGTCTGTGCATCCCTTTATTAGCAGATGGAGGTAGGGCAGTTCTTAAAGCTAGGAGAGATGAGTTCACCTTGCTTACAAAACAAGAATCTGCTCTGACTGCTGGCTCTTCAGTGCCTAGAACACTGCATGGCACATAAGGAAAATATAACAGGGCTGGGGATATGTCTCCCTGGTAAAGCACTTAGCTAGCATGCACACAGCCCTGGGTTCCATGTCAAACACTGCAAAAATAAATAAATGTGTTTAATGGATCTTTTTTTTTTGTTTTCAAGTGCTGGAGTTTGTATTATTTTTTGGAGTTATTTTCCTTGACCCTGTGACCAAATACCTGGCAGAATTCATTTAAGTCGGGAGAGGTTTACTTTGCCTTACAGTATGGTTTAGGGAACGTGAAAACAGGGAAGGCATGGGCTAGACCTGGTCTATGGCTTTGGGAGCATAGAGCAGCTGCCAGTTACATGGCTCCAACCAGAAAACTGAGAGCCAGACTGGAAGCCAAGCAAGCCTATAATGCTCACAGCCTTAAGTTTGCCAGCCAGGCCTCATGTCCAAAAGATTCTATAACCTTCCAAAACAGCACCACCAGCCAGGGACCATGTGTCCAAACACAGGGGCCTGTGAGGGACATTTCACATTAAGACCATAACAGGACTGAGCTCAGAGCCTCACCTTTGCTCTCCACTAATCTACATCCCAAAGTATTTCTCTAGTCTAAAAACTACTAGCAGTTTCTGATGCAAAATCTACAGTGGAGTGCTGTCTGAGGTAATTCAGAAACTAAGGGGCAGGGGCAAGTCTGCCCTAGAACTTAACCTAGAGCACTTCCTCTCATCTGCTACACTGATGGGTATAAACTGTGCAACAAATAGAAACCTGCAAAGCAACCATCCGGCCCATGATTCCTCCATGTCATGAGTGAAGGCCACTGATGATGGCAGCTTCCTGCCTACTTGCAAATGGCACAGTGGCAGTGCCATGTGTCAGCATCCACAAGCCAGTCTCTGCTTCACACATTAATTTTCCAGTCTATCCAGTCTCCTTAGGAGTTGCTTTCCAAAGCCAATGTGTGTCCAGAGCAGATAATGAAACATGTAGGTTATTGCCTCCAGAAGGGGAGGGCAGCTCCACAACACACACACACACACATTGAGCACTAACTATGTATGTGTAGCCTATGTAGAGGTCTGTTGGCTGATAGGCCATGTTGCAGAGGAAGACATAGTCATCTGCCCCAGGGAGTCTATGGAAATAGCACACACAACAAAGGAACTTAATTAGAAAGTTTGGGGTGTTGTAAAATACCACAGTAGAGAGGAGTGATCGATCCAGCTGGGTCACAGAGGTCTGAGAAGACCTTCCAGAAGGGGTATGGTTAGATCAAGACCTGCAGAAAAAGCAAGTGGAAAAGAGAAAGAGCTTCGTAGGTGGAGGGAATTCAGTGTGTTCAGGGCCCTGGGGTGAGCAAGGCTCCATGCTTTGTAGGCTGCAGGTGGCTTGCCATGGATGGTTCAGAGTGTAGAGCAGGCAGTGAGACTAGGGTCTGGGAGTTCTCTATATGCCATGTGAACTTGGACCGGGCCGGTGGGGGGTGGGTGGGTGGGGGGGTGTGTGTGTGTGTGTGTGTGTGTGTGTGTGTGTGTGTGTGTGTGTGTTTGTGTGTGTGTGTACTGAGGCCGGGGGGGGGAAAGGCCAAGCTCTGGTTCTGCTGCAGAGAATGGAGTTGGAGGGCATGGCGAACAAACAAATGGTAGTGGGAGGGTCCCAGAGAAGTAGTTTAGGGAATCAGAAAAATGACTGAAGCTTGAGTTGAAGACACAAAGACAGGAGGGCAGATTTCATCTGGGAGCTGTTCAAGAGCGCCCTCTAAAGGACTCAGTGGAGTTTGCCAAACTCGTGGCAGACAGCCAGCTGCCTTGTGTCAGGTCCTACCTACCTATTCACTATCACAGATTCCAGATTCAACAGCCTAGAGGTGTTTGTTAAGCCAAAGGAGGGGTAAGGAGTGTAACTCAATGGCAGAATTTCTGCCTGGTATGCATTCCCAACACCCCAGGAAGACAGTGGCAGGGTACAGATGGAATTGTCCAGAGAGAGAGAGAGCCCGTGAGTGACTGGCGAAGCAAAAAGGTGGCACCACAAAAGTCAGAGGCACAGGCAGCAGCTCCTCAGACAGCCATACAAGTGAGCTTAGGGATGAAGGCCTCAGCGCGCTGACCTTATCTTCAGCGAAGCCATATCAGAGGTCAGGAAGTAGTACCAGCTCAGCAGGGAGGGGGAGAAGGATGGGGCCAAGCCTAAGATACCTTCAAGTCCCTCTGTCAGAAGGGCAAGCATATAGAAGCACAAAGGTGAAAGAGAAGGGTTGGCTGAAAGTGAGGCAGCTAGGAAAATGGGAACAGATGACATGCAGAAACCATAGGAGAAAGGGAGGGTGCTGCTGATGGTGACCGTGTAGGTGAGGTGACAGGAAGTTGAGGGAGGTCCCATGTGATGGCTCCTATTCTCAAATCAAGGCAAGCCAGTCTCCTGCCTGTTACAAGAGGCAGGAGGAAGTGGGGTCTGTGGAATGAGGGATTTTCAAGATTCACAAAGATTGCTGTAGTATTTGAGTCCATGGACCACGCCCCCCCAGCACAGTGTTGTGGGGGGGAAAGTACATAAGCAGTTCCCACAGCCTGGCAATGGGAAAGGAAAAATAGCTGGTGGCAGAGGTTTTGCATGGTAAGGGCAAGGGCGTAAGCAAATTTCTGTCCTAGGCTAGAGAGAGGGAAGTGAAAACAGGAAAACACTGTGGCATATATGACATTGGCAGTGTGCAAGAGGCAGAAATAAAAAGTAGGGCTGGGGCAGCCACTCTGGCAGGATGCTCACCCAGCATGTGCAACACCTTGGGTTACAACACAGCACCATGAAAACCATTCATGGGGCCACAGTTCCCAGGGCTGGCTGTGCCTTGTAGTCAAGCCAAGTTCAAGTACAGGCTGCTGAACTGGGGCTATGGCTTGGGGGGAGTGCTTGCCTAGGATGTTTGAAGCCCTGGGTTCCATCCCCAGTATCAAACAAACTGGGTATAGCGGTGCGCATCTCTCCAACACTAAGGACATGGAAGTAGGAAGATCCCAGCTGGAGAGGTGACTCCATGGTTAAGATCACTGGTAGCTTTTCTAGGGGATCCAGGCTCAATCCCCAGCACCCACATGGCAGTTTACAAACATCTGCAACTCCAGTCCCAGAGGAATCTGATGCCCTCTTCTGGCTTACACAGATAGTGCACTCATAAATAGATTTTCTTAGAAATTTAAGAATATGATCATCCTCAGCTACATAGCAGGGTTTGACGATAGCCTGGGCTACAAACACCCTGCTTATTAATTAATTAACTAATTATTAATTAATATGGTGAAGGCTAAAAAGCTGGCTCGCAGGGTAAAGCCCTTGCCATATAAGCCTAAGGAGCTGATCCCCCAGAACCCCTGTAGATGTGGTGATCTGTTTATAATTCCATACTCAAGACAGAGATAGGTCCCTGGAGCAAGGTGGCCAGCATGATCAGCAAGCTCTGGCTTCATTTGAAAGACTCTGCCTCAATGAGTAAAAGATGACATCCAGCATCACTTTTGGGCCTGCACATGCATGTGTACACACATGAACACATACATACATACATACATACATACATACATACATACATATACACACACACACACACACACACACACATACATAGATGAACAGCACATAAACACTGCAGCCTCCTCCTCTCCTTTTTACTGGTGCTCAATAGCCTTCAGGCTCAAGTGTGACTCTTCTGTAGTCAGATTTGGAAGCCGTTTGGAACAAAAGAGCAGTAATTCAGTGTGATAGCTGTGGGCCTGGGCTTGTCCAAGAGGCTGCCGAAGTCAAGAGGGCCAGGAGGTGGGAATGAGGAAGATTGGGGCAAAGACAAGTTTCCTATTGATGATAAACCTAGGATGAGAAAGATGCACCAGTTAACCCAGCAGAGGGGAAGGTGCCAAACCAGTGTTCCAAGTCCAGGGAACAGCATGTGCAAAGTCAGGGCCACAGCTGTGGGACTCCCAGTCACTTGGTGTAGCTGGAAAACACCATGTAAACAGGGGAGTGGTGCGGCATCTCGGGAGAAGGAAGCAAGCAGCACATTGTTTGGAGCACCTTCCCCATGCTCTACTTTCCACCAAAAGAGCCAGGAGATGCATGCAAGAGAGTCTGCCATAAAGGCTAGGGAAGCAGGCCCCGGGCTGGGGGCAGAGCTGCTGGCTGGTCCAGTACAGACCACCTGGAGGAGAGCAGTGCTTTTGCTCACACTGGAACTCAGCACCACAGCTTTGCAGTTATTTGTTTGCTTTAGGGGAAAGGCGTAAGTCCTAAACTGGGAGAGAATTACTGAAGGATCCTCCCTTCTGGGCTCCCCGCCAAGAGTCAGCAAAAGAGGCAGCCTTCAGAGGAGTGTGCCAACTTTGTGTTTTTCCCCCAGATTGCTTCTCCTCCTCCCTTCCTGGGGCCCTGAAAGCCTCAATCAACTCCCAGGCGTCTCTCCCTTATTCTCAGAAGTCTCTGGACATGCACCCACCGGGAGGTAAGCCACACGAACACGAACAGTTCCGAACAGTTCCGCAGACCCCAAGGTCATACTGGGGCTAACTGAGACTCACAATACCCACTTGGTTTTACTGAGCCTCAAAAGCAAAGTCCCATCTGGAACATCCCACAAAGTCAGGGTGCTCAAACAAACAGCAGCTGAAAGACAACCTTGGACACTCCCATCCCAGTCCTGTGTCACTGCCTAGAGGGGACTCCAGGCCACTCCACCCTGTGGCCCCATTCACAGAATACATCCTGACAACATACCTGGAGATGGGAAATAAGACCCTATAGGAGCCACAGGAGTTCATGGGATGTGGCCTCCAGAGACCCCAGACTCCGGAAACACACATCAGTTTCTATGCCATCGCTCCACGTGGAGGAGGACTCTGAGGAGCCAGAAGAGAAGATGTGGAGGAGCGGGAGGTCTGCATACACAGACACCCCCCCCCCCCCCCGCCCGGGAGTCAGGCCCCATCAAGGCCCTGCCAGCGACAAGTGCCATCACTAAGCTGATACGAGCACTGGGTTTGAACCCCAGAGGTCTGCAGTTCTGACTTAACTCTGGGAAGTCAAATCAACCACGGGCACAAAAGAGTTTCTTACCCAAGGACAGAGAAGCAACTTGCCATTGTCAGTTTTTCTAAACCTGCTGATTCTGTGGCCAAAATGAGCTTCATTACAGTCCTGCTCTGGCAAGTGCCAACTGGGCACTTGGAGATTTCAAAGCTGCTGAGGTGGGAAGGAAGAGCTTTCAGTCACCAAGACAGGAGCCACAAGGAGAGCCTGGGCTCAGAGCCACACCTCTATTTTAGCATAGAGTAAGAGGTGGTGGTATTGGGTACCAGTGATACTCAAGCTCTGGGAACACGAAGGACACTCACCCTAGTTAACATAGAAAGGCGTGATTACATGTGGGGCATTGTGCCAGGGACTTCCCACACATGTCATTTACTCCCTGAGAAAGGGGTAAAAGAAAGGCCATGTGGTTGGGAGGAAGCCACCAAAGCGTGGCAGGGCTAGCCAGGAAGAGTCAGGGCCTAGGAACTAAAAGAGATCTTGGGACAGTCTTAGTTGGGGCTTACTGTAACATGTCACAGACCGACCCACTTACACCACAGAAATTTAAGTTACAGCTCTGGAGGCCCAAAGTTCACAATTCAGGTGTGTCAGTAAGGACCCTCTGAGGATGAGGGGAGGCTGTCCTAGAGCAGTCCATGTGCTTTGTAGATGCCTCCACTCACCTCCAGCTCAAATTCAGTTTATAATTGATGATGACCTTGTGGTCTTCCTGCCACCAACCTCCTGAGTCACATCCAGCTAATGCAATGCTCAGGGCTTTATGCATGCTAGGCTAGCTGTAGCCCAGCCCTCCCAGTGCCCCTCTAGTCTTCCCTGGGGGTGGGGTGTCTCTTTCACAAGCACTCCCCTTTTTGTTTAGAGAGTTGGACTAGGAACCCACAGGCTTTATTTGCATTTGATTTCCTCTGGCAAGATCTAACTGCAGAGCTGCTCAGTGCTGAAGCCCTGAGACTAGGACTTCCACGTGTGGATTTTGGAAAGATGCGATTCAGCACCTTTCAGGGGTACCCAGCCCAACTCTCATGAAATCAATTACTGCATTTACTACATTTATTTGCCCGTGTGTGTGTCTGTGTGTGTGTGTGTGTGTGTGTGTGTGTGTGTGTGTGTGTGTGTGTGTGTTCTCGCACGTGCGCAGCACACATACATAGGAAGGTATGAAGACAATAGAGGAGTTAGTTCTCTCCTTCCTCTGTGTGTATACATGGGACTGAGCTCAAATCATCAAGCTTGGCAACAAACACACTTACCCGCTAAGATACCTTGCTGGATCTAAGCTGTCCTTAAATGAGTCTGTGGAAGCCTTAGACAGGCATGAGTCACACAGCAAGATGGAAAATACTAAAAACCTGGGTCTTTTATCACCCTGGCCCTTGGGTGGATTTCTCCAGGAGAGGCAGCCACTTGCCCACTTAGAGGAACTGCTTTCCCAGGCATGCATCTGTGGTACAGGACTGTCCTCCAAGCCAGGCAGAACCTCCTTTTCAGGAGCTTGGCTGAACCCACTGCCAAAAGATCCTCACAGCTGGCTTTGTTGACATTTGAGCTCCCGAGGAGAGGCGGGGCTCATCATGGGACCCTCACCTGAGTCCAGCCACGCCTCCCTGCCATTTGTGTACAACTCTGGCCTAATTATATGTGGCCTCTGTGTCTCTCAGGAGGGGCTAGGTTATCCAGGCTGGGGGGACTCTGGGAAGGAGGCCGCCATCTGTACTGCCATGGAAAGCCATCATGCATTCTGTGTGCTGACCTTCTGGTGTTGCTTTAGTGTCACCCAAGAATGTGCCAGTAACCCCTCTCACCATGCTTTCTAAGTGCCCTAATAAAAACATTGGTTCCCAGGGTGAGCCTGAGTGAAATTGAACTGTGTGTTATGAGTCCTTATGGAGAGGGGGGGACTTTGTGTGTGTGTGTGTGTGTGTGTGTGTGTGTGTGTGTGTGTTTCCTCCAGGAGAAAATTCTCACAACAGCATCCCAAAACTTAGGCAAGTCTGCAAAGCACCTTGTCAAATATCTTTATAGGATTGGAGTGAGGACCCACAGAGACCCACTTGCCAGCCAGTAGTTGGGTAAACTAAAGGGCCAGAGCAGAAGGACTCCATGAAGGGAGCTTCCTGGAAGAACCATGTCTTCTTTCTTTTCAATGGCTAAGCCCCTATTTCAGAAGCCAGATGATGTTTGGGGGCCCTGGGCAGGGGCCAGAGCTGGGACAAGGCTCGGCAGTTAACAGAAGACCTGGTTTTGGTTCCTGGCACCCAAATGGTGGCTCACAACCATGTGTAATTCCAGTTTTAGGGGACCTGATGTCATCTTCCCACCTCCACTGGCACCAGGCATGCACTGGGTATACACACACATGCAGGTAAAATACTTATACACATACAATAAAAAAAATTTAAAATGCATATTTAAAAGATGCCAAGCCAAGTGATAGTGGGGCACGCCTTTAATCCTAGTACTCAGGAAGCAGAAGTAAGTGGATCTCTGTGAGTTTGAGGCCAGCCTGGTCTACCGAGCAGGTTGGCCAAGGCAAAAATCTGTCTTAGAAAAAAAAAATGGAAGAAATAGAAAGAGGAGGAAAAGAAGAAGAAAGAAAGAAGCTATCACCAGAAGTGAGACTTGGGATATGGCTCAGTAGGAAGAGTGTTTGCCTAGCATGCACACAAGGCCTTGGGTTCAGCCCCCAGCACTGAGTAAAACTGGGTATGGCAGCATATATGTGTAACCCCAGAACTCAGAAGGTAAAGGTAGGAAGATGGGGGGTTGGTTTGTTTTGTGGGAGGGTTATTGTTTGGTTGGTTTTCAAGACAGGGTTTCTCTGTGTAACAGTCCTAGCTGTCCTGAAACTCACTTTGTAGACCATGCTGGCCTCAAATTTACTGAGACTAACCTGCCTCTGCCTCCCAAGTTCTGGACCTAAAGGCCTGAGCCACCACTGACTGGCAGGTTTTCAAGGTCATCTTCAGCTACATAAGTTCAAGACCAGCCTGGGCTCTGAGACCCTGGTCTCACATAATGGAGAAGTAACAAGTGCAGCCTGTCACTCAGCTCTGAGCCTTGCCTGTGAACCCCCTCCCATCAACACAGTCAGTCATCAATCAGCACTTGCTTGGGAATTGCTGGGCTCTCTTTTGTTCATTTTCAGGTCCCCAAAGGCAAATGAGTAGCCATATGCTTGGAGAAGTCACTAAGAAAACACTAGAACAAGTGGCATAGGTTTTAAAGTGATGCTTTTGTGGCCAAAACCACACACAAAGCCAGGTGTAGGCTCACAGCTATAATAACAATACTCCGAGGGGGCTGAGACAGGAGCATTACCATGATTGGGGCCAGCCCATCCAGGCCCCCTGGAAATCTGTCTCAAAACACTGAACACACACAGACAGACACAGAGGCAAAAATGAAGACTGAATATAGCACCCAGGGTGTGGGAGACATCAGACCACAAAGGAAGTTAGCAGGCTACAGGGAAGGAAGAAGTTCACCTTGTCCTTCCCTGTACCAGGCTCGCTGGTTTTGCAGACGTTTGGTGTTTTTTGGTTTTTTTGTTTTGTTTTGTTTTGTTTTTTTCATTCAATAAAAATAGCTCTATGGGACAACATATTATAGCATGGGTGGAAATAAAAACTAGGAACCACATCACAGGTTGTTCGGCTGCAAACGTGGCCCCTGCTCCACAGACTGATTTATGCCAAAACGGTGGCCGCCTTCACTGGTCCCAGGTGGGACCTGGCCTTGGGGAGGAAGGGAGGAGGAGGTACAGAGCCATCAGCTGTTTCCCCTCACCAAGGCTAAAAGCACAGCTTTGTCTGAACCTGCCTTCTGCACTATAAAAGTTTCCGCCACAAAGCGTTCATTCAGGAAACCGAGGTTAGAGACCCTGGGCTTCCTGACTTGATTGGTCTCCTGGGGCCCCTGGGGGCCTGGGACCAGCCCAGCGGGGTGGGGTGTGTGACGGCTTTGCAGGTTACAGGATGTGAAAGTGAGGGCTGAGGTTAGGAGAAAGAATAAAAGGCCAAGAGTAGAACACGCCCAGCAGACACTGTGTGCACTTCTCTTCTTCAGGGTTTCCTGTGGGTGAGCTGAGAACATTGTGTTCTGGCTCTGAACTTATCCTGTGGGGGCTGCTCCCCTCTCAGCCTCTGGGTCCTAGTGCTGTGGCTCGGCCTTGGCTTCTCTGCAGAGCTGTTTCTCCGGTCTCCCACTACGGAGTGGGGTCCCAGCCACCTCCATGACATCTTCCAGGTTATAATGCTGTCACACAGGAACACTTCATGTCCCTCATAACAAAATGGTCAGGAAATGGGAAGAACTCACCAGCATCCATATGAATTCCTGTCTTCAGGATGCCAGAAATCAATGTTGAACCATTATTTTTTTATCCATTTTAATTTTTGGTTTTGGTTTTTTATTTGCTTGGGGTTTTTTGTTGTTGTTACTATTATTTTTGGCTTTTGGTTTTTGGGGTTTTTTTGTTTTTGGGGTTTTTTTGACAGAGTTTCTTTATGTAACAGTCCTGGCTGTCCTGGAACTCGATTTGTAGGCCAGGCTGGCCACAAACTCGAAGAGATCTGCCTGCCTCTGCCTCCCGAGTGCTGGGATTAAAGGAACATGGCACCAATACCCAGCTTGAACCTGTACCTTCAAAATTTTCGAAAGATACTTGAGAATACAAGTCTTTTAAATGTTTTGTTTTGTCCTATCTTAGGAATGCTTACCGACAGAATACAAGGCCTTACCATGCTAAACACAGACTCTACCACTGAGCTACACCCCATGCCTCAATAGACTTTTTGTTCACTTGTGACAGTTTCATCTAACCCATGTTAACCTAGGACTCGAGACAACTCTTCTGTCTTAGTTTCTCAAGTGCCACCAGGCAATAGGTCCTTTCTTTCACTTCTCTTTTTGTTTTTATTGTATTTATTTAGTGTATTTGTGTGCACATGTATACACCGTAGTATTGGGTGTGGAGGACAGAGGACAATTTTTGGGAGCCTCTTCTCTCTTTCCACCATGGGTTCTAAGGATCAAACTCTGGTTCTCAGGCTTGTCCCGAAAGTGATTTTACCCACAATGCCATCTTGCTGCCCCCCCCTTTTAATTCCTGTGTGGCAAATGCATGTGTTATACACTTGTGTATGTGTGTGCTAGGTATTTATGTGATATGTGTATGCATATGTGTGTACATGTCTGTATAAGTATGTGCAACTATGCATGAATATGCAGAGGCCAAAGGGTCATCAGGTTGCCTTTTTCTGTCA